TTCCTACCCCCAGCCTTCCAGCAATTTCTCTGCAGAATAGTAAACCCTGACTCTATCAAAGACTATTTTCAAGAAACACTAGATCAGAAGCATTGTCTGTATTTGCCAAATGAATTCATAAATCAGACCTACTGAAGTTGTCTGTCCTGTAGCCAAGTCTAAAGACTGAAGAGGGATTCAAAAGGAAGTGTCTGATTCAGGGAACCCTAGAAGCTGCTCCATTTCTCCAAGAAAAGCAAATTGGAGACTGGCCTATGGTTAGCTTTGGCCATTTCCACATGGGTTATCTATCTCAGACTCAATGTGGTTGGGAAGTGGGTATCCCCCACCTTGTTTCCTTGCAGCATTATGCTGTATTTGTCTACAGCCCTTTCTGCACCCATGTTTTGCCTCGGTTTTTGAGTGCATCCTATTCTTCCGTTCAGCATTCCCTCCTGCTTTCACTTAATCTCAGGGCTTTCTCTTGTTTCTGCATTTGTTTTATAGGTATCTGTATTCAGACTGCTTCCGGCACACTGTTGTCCCACAGCTACCCAAACTCCTCTTGTTGTGATTCTTTGTTCTCACCCGCTTTCAAATTGCTAATCCTTTCTAAAGTAGAATTGTTTCTGTGGGTGTTTAAGTGCTGCCCACTGCCCCTTTTCGCCTCTCTCTGTTTAAGTTTATGCTCATTCCTTGTTCTGTTTTCTTTCCCTCCTTCTCCAAAGACAAAAGAGGATGTGTCCTCCTGCTCAGGCAAACTTTTAAAAAGCCAGAAAGAGCATAAGAAGGAATCAGTAAATATAAAGGACTAGAGGATTCCCTGCTCCCAAATGTGTCAGCCTTGCGCATGTGGGCCTGGATTTTCCCCTCCCTTCCCTTTCTTTTTGCAGAATCACAGAGGGAGGGAGGGGTTGGCAGCCAGTTAGCTCAAAAAATTAGGTTTTGTTTGTAGATGCAGAATGCATACAGAATACACAAATAAATAAACTGGAGGGGGGGGGAAACAGTGCAGAGGAAATGCGTGCAACTGTGAAGTCAACCCTTAAGACCTGACTTCTCAGATTCTCTGGAGCAAGCTGTCCGTGCAGAAAGGGCCTATCTCCAAAGCTTTCCCCAGCTTTTCTCCAATCTTTCTCAAACCTGCTTTGTTGCAATGTTTTCAGAAAGATTGCAGCAGATCTTGAAGGAAAGGTTTCCTTGAAAGTCTCTTGGGTGGCTGTTTCTTCCTACTGCCACTAGGGGGCTTTTTAAAAAATGGTAATGAAATTTGTTTTTTCAGTTAACAATATGTGTAACAGGTTCTCTGAATTCCCAACTTTCATTTTTAAAAAGTCTCTGCCCCCTTCCTTTCAAGTGCCTTCCCTTTCCCCTTACATCTCTGGAATAAAAGAAGCTACATACTTTTTAAAGAAACGAAAACTGGGAATTCAGAGAACCCTGTTACACATTGGCAACTGAATATCTTATCAATATAACAATTGTTTAAAGAGAGGAGGGGAGATGGCTGCTGCTGGAAAACTGTGGCAAAGAAACTTCAGGGAAACCTACCATGTGGAAGCTCTGTTTCAACTGCACTTTATAAGCAGCCACCCCAGCAATGGGGAAACCACACAAGTTGTCCCTGAATGAAAACCACCTTAATCAAGGGAGAACTTTCTCAGCAGCATTCAGGTTAGAGCTTCTGTCAGTGGTCTTAGACAACTATTAATGACATTTCTGTCTTAACCTCTTGTCTGGTAGATTTTGCCTTGCACTACCCAAAGATACTATCAACATAATTTACAGATACCATGCCAAAGTTGTCAATAGAATGACCATATAGGACACTTGACACCACTACTACTACATCTGCACTGAAACTGGCATCCAAGTCAGAACAGTGCCAATATATCTAACCAGCAAATAATCATGCAAGACCATTAAAGCTGATAACTGAATTACTGTCATTTTCTGTCTCAAAACCAGGAATTGTCAGCTGCCTGTTCATCTTAAATAATCGAGCTGGCTGCAGTTCAGCTGACATAGTGGTAATGGAGAAGTGTTGCTTCTTTATGCTATTAATAGCATCTCTCAGACTTTCAAGTGTGCCGTAGTGTCCTAAGTATCTCCCCCATTTGCTTCAGGTCTCCTGCTCTGCAGAAAGCGAAGGAGGTAAAATACTGTTGGAAAAGGACTCCTAGGCAGAGAGATGATCCTGTCAACAGTCCAGCTCTGACAATTGCCAGTTAAGCTCTCAGAATCTCCCATTAGCGTCCAGGGGCAGACCATTCTAACTGGTCCATGATGCTTGCAAAGGGGCACACTGGAACCACGTGTGCCTTCAACAGATAGACCACAACACAAGTTGAATATCATGTCCATTCACCAGACCACTAGGCTCTTAGTACAAAAAAATTGAATTCAATGTGCAACCTTGTGCTGGGTTCATGATGGTGTGGGACAGCTCTGTGGCAGCTATGAAAGGTCTGGGAATCTTCAGCACAGGCTAATGACTACTTCCACCAGCTCATCCAGTGGCTCAGTAGTGAGATAGGCAGACTACACAACAATAGAAGCTACAAATTCCCTGGAACCCAACTTGAGAAATGCACAATCAGTTCTGACCACTTTTTGTACTGAGAATTGGGGGGGGGGGGAATGCAAACTCTTTACTTCAGGGTGTACTGCTGCAATTATGTAAGATCATGATATCTAACTCATCCAGCCACATTTTTGTCATACTAAGCCAATCCTCTCCGAGGATGATGTCACATACTTCCCCCTCTAGCAATCCAAAGCCCTTTGGGCTGGTTGCATGAGTATTTAGACACTTTCAAGTGGTCCTCTTGGGCTTGCAAGATTCAAAGGAGGTTGAGCAAGGGGGAGATATGGGCAGCAGAAAAACCTATTACTGCCTCTGCAATCCCTTGTGGGATTTCACTTGTATCCTCTTCTAATTAGTGCAGACATGTTGAACTCATTTGTTACAAGGCCAGATCTGACATAAATGTCACTGTGCCAGCCGGACCCTGTGTACCATAAAACTTCATGACAGGTACCAGAAGCATAAGCTTTATAAAAGGACGCAGACAAACCCAATTAATTATATTATTTTTTAATTCAAAATACAAACAAAAGCAATTAATTCCTAGCAGTGACAGCAATTTATTTACAGGGGAACCAACAAAAGCCCCAATAAATATTTAATCATATGTAAGACACAGGGTTTCCCCCCAAGAAGTACTATGGGGGGGTGGGTAATTTTACATTTCCGTACTAAGTTACTTTTTGTATATATAGCACTTTAGGAGACAAGTCATCTTCCTTGTAAATCAATAAGGTTTTTAAGCACCTCCCGATAGGCCCAGCCTCATCAGCTGAGCACAGGTACAATTTGGCTCTCTTAGATCCCCCCCCCACATCTAGTTCTCATCCTTCCTGTGTTTCCCACAGAACAGTCAAGGCTGAGGGGAAGGCCTGATAGGTTATTTCCAAAACCTTCATGGGACACTTTTTGTCCTCCTGTGACCCCTTTTCCCTGAAAGGCTAAGAACAGGTTGGGGGGAGAAGGGAGGTCGCTGTCCCCCACCTGCTCACTCTGCCTTCCAGCTCTGTGACTGCTCAGATGTGTGGTGGCAATGGCAGTGGTGCCCAGGGATCTTTTGGGGCTAGAGCGCGCCAGAGCACCACTCTGGCAGCCCAGGAGCCAGCGCAAATGGTGGCGGCAGCAAGCCCCCCCCCCAGCTCCTCCACTTGCACCTGCTGATGTGACCTTGGGTCAGTCACAAGCTCTGGCACAGCTGTCCTTGAAAAAGAGCAGTTTCTGTCAAGAGCTCTCTCAGCCCCGCCTACCTCACAGGGTGTCTGTTGTGGGGAGGGGAAGGGAAAGGAGTTTGTAAGCCGCTCTGAGACTCCTTTGGGCAGTGGAGGGTGGGATATAAATCCAATCTCCTCTTCTTTAAAACATAACTGGCAAATAAATTTCCTTGTTAATATAATATTTAACTATGCTCCAGTATTATATTAACAAGGAAAGACTGTAAAGGTCAGAGAATTGCTCCCTCAGAGACCAATACATCTTCCCAGTCTTCTTTTCTAAAAACCAAAGTTTACCCTTTCTGAAGTCTTTGGATTTCATAAAATTGGAAAAGATTATGCTATATTACCAAATCTTTGTCGCTTTAAAGTATGAGCCAAAAAGGCCTTTTTCCTACCAGAATGAGAAAGAGCATTGAGAAGTGTGTGCACATACATTTGGCATAGGACAGAACAAGAGAACATAAGAGCCATGCTGGATCAGACCTCAGGCCCACCTAGTCCAGCATTCTCACACAATGGCCCACCAGCTACCTCTAGGAAGCCCACAAGCAGGAAGACTGCAACAGCATCATCCTGCCTGTACTCTCCAGCAACTGATTTAAAGAGGCATATTATCTCTGGTACTGGAGGAAGTAGATTATCTATCATGATTAGTAGCCACTGATAGCCAATCATCCATTAATTTTTCCCCTCCCCTTTTAAAGACTTTCAAGCTGTCAGCCATGATCATATCCTGTGGCAGTGAGTTCCACAAATGAACTAAATGCTGTGTGAAGAAATGTTTCCTTTTGTGTTTTTTTTACCTTTGTTTTGGAGCCAAGAGAAAGTCATGCAAATAGCTCATTCCAAACAAGATTTTTTCATACCACTCTACACAACACTCTTAGTTTGGTAGTGAATAGTATCACAGTAAAAATTGAGATATTTAAAGTAGTTGGCAGTGTATAACATGTTTTCTTCTCACAAAAGCAGAGTTCAATTTCAAAACAAACTATAAAATAAATATTCTCTTTGACTGTTATCTTTGCACATTGCCGAAAGCTAACACTACAGACTTGCACAATCCAGTTGTTCATGGTGATCTTAACTGTCTAGGACTGCCATTAAATCTTTCAATATTCAGTGATCCTACAAACTCGGATATTAACTCCTGTGGCCTATGCAATTCAAAACAAAACAAAAGCAGCAGCAATACAATGCTACATTTGATTACCCATGCCTTACTTTCGTTTGCTTTTTGTGTCAGTAGTCTGGAAAATGCTAGAGGCAGACATAAGATTTTCTATATATTGTCCAAGAACTTGGTTTTCTGATTTCAGCTTCAGGTTTTCTTCTTTAACAGCATCAACTCTGGCAGACAGATCTGCAAGGACAGAGGAGTTCCGCAATCAGTGTTAAGTTACTGTGTTGCCTTGGTTTATTTTATTTATTTATTTGTCTATCAAATTTCTACCCCACCCTCCCAGCCAAGGCCAGCTCAGGGCGGCTTACATAAGAATCAACACATAAGTTACAATAAAACAATTAAAACAATTCTAAACCCATTTAATCATCTAACATAATAAGTGCTAGTATTGTTATCGTTTGCGACAAACTATACATCACTGCATCCAAAACCACAAAACTTCATGTGGATGCAGGAAATCCAACTTCAAATCCCTGTTTAGCCATGAAGCTTGTCATCCTGCCTTCAAAGAATCCCGTGCGAAACATACTCTGCAGGGCATAAATGTGATCAGTTGCCAACTCCACCTAAGCTCATGCAATAGCACCCACACCAGTTGTTATACTGAGTAAAATGGAAAGAGTCCTAATGGGGTGTTTTATCTTCCTTAACTGCAGTGGGGCTTGCAGACAGGGTTACCGACAACCTGAAGGAAAATCTTGATACCTCTGTTAAAGGGATCAGGTACTTTCTTCCAGGTTATTGGCAACCCAACCTGTAGATTGTCAATGCGTCTGTACGAGTGCAACCCCCACTCACACCTGAAGTCACTTAGCCTGTCTGGACATTCACCCGGTTAAACAGGGTATAGGACTGCTGTCTCTGCATCTTTAACAGTGCTTGTAAATAAGTTACCCTTCTGGGTGAAAGCCACTAACCTTCAAGTGTATGTTGCAGTTCCAAAACCTGATTAATAAGCCGCATTTTCTCTTCCAGTTCCACTTGATTTTCAGCCTCAACAGCTATTAAGAAACAGATAATCTTGAGAACAGCTAAATATTGTCATAAATGAACACAAAAAAGGAATAAAATGCCATCTACCATCCATATCTGCATTCATCGTGGTTGAATGAACCTTCTCCTCTCTTGAATCCTGTACTTCAGAGATGTGCTCTGTTTAAAGGGAGGAAAACACCATCAATGGCATGCATATTATCAGACCAAGATTTCCTAGTTTAATCTTTTGGTTGGGTTACATCAGTCATCCAGACTCCAACACACAAGACTAAACAACCTCATGGACCTTTGAAATACTGCAGGGAAACCTTGTTTTGTTTTATCTAGTTGCAGGCCACTTTTAAGGACAGAGACAAATTGGCAAATAAAACAATTTTCATAAAAGGAAATTAAAGGCAAAACACTCCACACTGCCCTTTTTCCAACAACAGCTGATTCAGATCATATGGGCATCCATAACCACTTCACACTGTTCTCTTAGTGCCGTTAGTAAATCATAAAGTGATACATGCCTTGAACAAACAACATATATTCTTAAATCCCAGTAATTTATCAATTTTAATCCTATTAATCTGCTCACTGGGTCAATATCCAGAAGCAAGGATTAAAAGTAGAAAGCTGGCTAAGGGTTAAAATAAATCAGTCCCTGCTGAAGCTTGTTGCACATTAATTCCAGAAGTTGTCCTGGAGTTCTGACAATGGTACTACCAAGGTACCAACCGTGCCCTAGCTAAGCAGATCACGGTTTAGTTGGCCCCTGGAAACAATTTGATATACCACTGTGAAGTGGAAGAAAAAAGTAGAACATAAATGCAATAATAAATACTGCTGTTCAGTGTAATACCTTGAAGTTTGCTTACCCCAAATTACTTGCAAGTGCAGTAACTTCCTACTCTAAAGAGGGGTATTTCCTATTATCTGACAGGAAAGGGGAATTCTAGAAAGAATGCATGGTATGTGGATGATTGAAAGTAACATCAAGGTCCCTTGGGGATTACATATGCAGGGTGGATGTGCTGGGCTCCTTCATTTTCCATTTCCCATTATAGCAATATTTGGCTATCTTTGCTACTGGAAAGATGCCCATCCCTGAAGAGCTTTCCAGGCGCATCTCCTGCCTCTCCAATTGGCAAGATTTTGTATCACCCCCAAAATGAAGCCAGAGAGGAATAAAACCTCCCTCAGCACATGTTGGCACTGGTGGCCTAGCCTCCCCAAAGACAGCACTCCATACCTGACTCCCCAGGCAAGAGAAGCTCGTGTGTAAGCATCCATCCCTGCTTCCCTTTCTCCTTCACTTTATGACAAGTGTTCACTCTCACAGGTTGCCCTCACACCCCAACCCTAGCGTAGTCCATGGAAACTAGTATGCCTGCACAGTTTCCTTGCCCAGCTACCAGTGTGCCTTGTGCCTTGAAAAACAACTGGCGTGACAAAGAGGCGGGGCTTAGGGGAGATGGATCTTGGAGGCACCAGTTGTGGCCAGGATGTGCTTGCTGCTCCACATGAAAGGGCCAATAAGAGAGGGGAGACATCAGCCGAGACTTCCTGGTTCTACGGGCTTTGGGTTGGGCTCCTGGGTTTTGCCAGGTTGCATCTGCCATGGCAGCGGGTGCAGGAGGGGTTGGAAGAAGGGTAGTGGGAGCATCTATCTTTGCCTCTCCCAAGGGGGTAGGAGCCCAAAGCACAGGCTGGTTAAAAGGCAGCCTAAAGCAGGCAGTCAAGCACCTCATAGCTTAGGCTGGTCTGGCTGGCTGCTACAAAAAGCTGCTCCGGGGATGTTTCAAATGTGACTCCCCTCTGATACATCTGTGATACAGTTAAGATAAAATAGCACCTATCATTTTCATGCTCCATCCATGGGTGAGGAAAAACAAGGCCAACTTGTTTTACCAAGCTTTAGAACTGGAAAAGCATAGTAGGTCTATGTGCGCACGTACTTGAGACCAAGTCCCATTAGACTCAGTAGTAGCACTTACTGCCAAGTAATTATGGACAGGATTGCATTTGTGAGGAACAATACTGGAGGGAGTGAAGCCTTGCCTTGGTGACACATCACCTCACCTCCCCAACAAGCAAGATTTGGGGGTCAGGGAGAGGATCCTTATTTTCTTCCCCTTTATAAGGTTTTGAACTTTCTGGCTATAACAGTGGAAGTTCTGTGCATTTGAACAAGTTAGCATGGCTTTATCCCATTTTCTCGTCTGCTAGGGTCTTGGCCTGCTGTGGTAGTGGCACAGATCAGAGCAATAGGTCAGAAACTATTTGTTAACACTACTTATCAAGGTGTTACAGTGCATTTCAAAGGAGTTTTCCCATGGAGAGAGGACGGAGTCAACAGAGCAATTTTGAACCATGCAAAGATCTTTTAACCTTTGGATATCAGTGAAAATAACATAATAAACCAACACTATGAGAAATGTATTTTAATAATATTAAATGTGGCTTAAAGAAATGTAGAACTACTAAAAAATATCCATATTTCCAAAAGATGCCTTCTCAGCATCACAGGGTTTCCTGTAAATGGTCTTCAAAATTTCACCACAACTACTATCAAAAGGCGATTATAATCCAGGGCTATCTCCTTACAAGCTCCAGACACTCCCAGACCAACATTTCCATACTGTAAAACAAAGCCAATAGCAGCTACCAAAAATCATGCCAAAGAAATATGACTGGATCTGGCTGTCTTTTCCATTCTCAGTTCTCCTCCTTACTGTAGTCTCCCTTCCACATTACTTTTGTGACCCAGGGCTCTTTTTGGGGAAAAAAAAAGCCCAGGAGGAACTCATTAGCATAATAGGCCACACCCAACAGCAGACACTCATTAGCATATTAGGCCACACCCCTAACAGCACAGCTCATTAGCACATTAGGCCACACCCCCATGTTACCAGAAGTGTGGTTATTCAGCCACACCCACCTTTTGCTTGTTATTCTGTTTACCTTGTTTGTTGTCAAGACCCAGGGCTTTTTTGTAGCAGGAACTCCTTTACATGTTAGGCCACACACCCCTAATGTAGCCAATCCTAATGAGTTTCTGCTGTTGGGTATGGCCTATTATGCTGCGTTCCTGCCCAAAAATAGCCCTGCTTTTGTCTGTGCAGGTCCCATGATCCCTAGCTTAGAATTTTTTTGTGGTGAAGACAATTCCTAATTTCTTTTTCAGCAGCTGAAAAGGTTGCTGGATCCAACACATGCATTGCAATCCTAGGAACATTTCCCCAGGACTCAGGAGTAAGACCCATTGAATAGACCTCAGTAGAATTCTGGGTGGACCTGCTGAGGATTGCTCTCACCATTTCCTAAGTATCACCATATCTAGAGAGTCTTCTACAAAGTGAGGTAAATGAAAAGGTCATGTAGTACAAAAGATGGTCATGTAGTACAAAAGCATCTTAAATACCAATGCATTTGTACCAGGCAGAGTTCACTTTGTCATTCAGTGGGCAAAGGGCAAAAAGGTGAGTGGTGAGGAAGAAGTGTTTGATTCCGAGGAAGAAGTGTTTGATTCTATCAGACTTGAACAGGCATGGGTTCGCTCACCACAAAAAAATAACTGTCCCTCCTTTCAGATTTACCATTCAGACTCACCTTCTGTTAACAATTCATTAACAATTAGGAGTAGTCCACACCTGCTGTGAGTGGATCATTCTGCTCTTGTGACTGGATCGTGTGTTCTTCTGTGCTCTGCAATGTGATGCCACACCTATATCCTGGAAAAATGGGAGTTCTTGTAATAATCCCACTTCTGGTGGGTGTATGCGTGTATTTTCTCTGTCAGCTAAATTCATGAAACTGAAGAAGTGTGGTCTGGCTCACAAAAACTTAAGCCACAATACATCTGTAGTGCTTACTTACATGGCTATTCCTCTGGAATTGTACAATGTACCTCTTTTTTCTTTTGGGGGGGCTGTGGTTGGGGGTAGGTGAAATATATTTGTTGAAAATATACTGAGAAAGATAGGGAAAGGATAGCGTGAGAGACCTCTGCTGTCTAAACAAGGTAAGCACAGGTGGTAAAAATGACGAGTTGTGCCTAGAATGTAAAGGTGTTTGTGGCCTCAGTGAAACTATAAACCTTGCAGTATCATCATTCATACCTTAAACCCTAATCCTAAACAGAGGCAGGTGATACCTGTGCTGTGATGTACCTACAGAGAGTGGCGCACATTGCAGAATATGCGTAATAGATCCAGCCTCCCTTCCACAGAGCCTCTTGATTTCAATGGGCTTGGGTGTCCCTAGGTCCTATAAAGAACAGGCTGTTAAACATGCCACATTTATTCATCACATATCTCAGTAGCATGAGGACTATATAAATATTTGGGTTAGTGTACCTATGGAAGCAGGATTCCTTCCAGGAAAGATCGACATCCAACTACATGTTGCATGTAATCTGGAAATGGGTAGGTATGTTAATGTATTGTAGCAAAATAAGTCCAGTGGTACCTTAAAGACTAACGACCATTTCAACATGAAATTTCATGAGTCAGAGCATTTCTTCAGATGTAGAAGTTAACTGAAGAAGTTCTCTAACTCACAAAAGCCTATGCTGAACCAAATGTTTAACATGCCACTGGACTGCTGTTCTACAATGTAATTTGGGCCAATTTCAACTACCAGTTTGTTGGTGTGGTTAAATACTTTAAGGAGGAGGTGGCTGAAATGGCGAATGTGGGGAATGAGAAGGAATCCTCTTTCGTGCACTGCTCTCTGGCCTCAGAGCCTACAGTACTGTCTCTTGACAGAGAGCTGGCAGCGGCCCTGGAGGGAAGGGGGGAAAGGAAAGCAGGTGCTATTACCCCTGGATGAGTGAAGGGAGGGACCACTTTGGGAACTAGCTGACAGAGCCAGCCCCTCCAGATGCATCTGCTGTTACTTCTCTGTGACTTTGATTCCAGACCCCAGTTAGTCTCTGTCGGGAGTGGCTTATGCTGGGTGGGAGAACATGGCTACTACACCACAAGGCTCCTGTGACAGGCATTTAGCTAGCAAAAAGTATATTGTCCACTACATTACATAGGAAGTATTGCATTGGAGGATGCCCCTGGGGGAAAAAAAACCTTTAAAAAAGAACCACATTCAACAATTTTTATAAAAATGAGAAAATAACTTGGGATATTATGGGATTTATAGTTGATCCTC